AACCTTGATGGCCTTCCGGAAGGGCCTGAAGACCTGGCTTTGCCATCTGGCCTGGGGATCAGAGAGTGGTGTGGAGCCCATCAAATTGTTGCACTGTTCTTGAATTACTGTGCTCTCTGGCTGACTGCATTGTATGGGTTTTAATGGTTTTAATGTTTTGCATTGTTTGTATGGATGTTTTATTTTTTGGTTTTTTGGTATTGTTGTTTTAATTGTGAGCCACCCAGAGTCATAAACGTGAGATGGGCAGCTATATAAATTGAATAAATAAATAAAATAAATGAGATGCATAATAGGAAGATTGCTGCTGATGAACTCTCAGTATTATGCCACCAGCAAAGTGAGTACATTCCAGTGCAGTTTGACTGTCTCTGTGGATTTCAGGGAGAATCAACAAAGACTTGATTCACAGCATTATGAATTCACAGAATGGCTTTTTTTTGTCAGCTGCAAATTGTATCTCTTATTTACATAGATACCTTAAAATAGAAGTGGAATTGGCAATGAGTAAAGGTTCTATTTGCCTTCTTCGCTTCTGTGCTAATTTCAGGGAAGCTTACCTGTCCATAGCAGTCTTCATATACTTCAAAGAGTCTACCTGAGTGCCTAACTTTTTGTACTTGAGTCCAAAGAGTAATATAAAAGTTGATCCTAAGATAGGTTCAACAGGTTGCTGGCAGCTTTACAGGTGGAGGCTGGGATGGACATCTGGTTTCTGATCCCTACATATTGTACCTATGAAACTTGTTATGTACCCAGTACTTGATTCCACTGCTCTGTTCAACTGTCCTTATTTTTCAGAACAATCTACTTCCTTCTAACTCTGTGTCTTGAACTCTGAACTTATAAAGACCAAATCTTAATCTTCTATGTGACATTTGTTTAGATATTTCAAAAGTGATATCACATCCTGCCTCTTTTCTCAAGGCTAAACATATCTAATTTCCTCCTTACTCCTTGAAAAACGTAGTTTCCAGTTTCTTGATTCATGATCCCTATTGTATTTCTTTGCTCCTGTTGTAGTTTCTTTGCATCTTTCTTAAATGTGTTGCCAGAACTGGACACAAGACTTGCAGTTCAATCTGACAAACACAGAATATAGTGGAATGTTAATTCCTTTTAATGCCAACAAATAGAGCAACCAGCCTTAGAACTGACAATTAAGATATTGAAGTGGTGAATAGCTTCTGCTTTTTAGTATTGACTATCAACAGGAAAAGCCAGCAGTCAAGAAATATGTCACAGATTAACTATTGATAAAGTAGCAATGAAGGCCTTAGAAAAGATATCCAGATGCTGCGACATGTCTTAGAATTGTGCAGGTAATGATTTTCCCTGTGACTCTATGGAAATGAAAGGTGGACTTTGAAGAACCAGATGGAAAGACTAGTGATACTTTTGAAAACTGGTGTTGGAGAATACTCCTGAGGATATGATAGATAGCCAAGGAAACAAACATATGAACTGTAGTACAAATCAACGCAGTGTTCTTGCTTAGGGCACAAATAATCAGGCCCAAACTATCATATTTTGGATACATTATATGAAGATCCAGCTTTCTTGAGAAGTTTATAATGCTGGGAAAGGTGGAAGGAAAAACAGGACAACCAGGAGCAAGGTGAATGGACATAACGGACGCAATTGCAGCGGCAATCTTATTATGGCAGTTGCTGCTGCCCCTGCTCCATTATTACCAATGCATTCTTTACAAACCATACAATAAGTGAAGAAACATGTGCTAATCTAGTTATACCAGGTCTTAGTAGCCCCTTCAGATAATATAAACCAGAGTAAAATTCACCAAGTAAGCAATGCTGAGCAGCCTCTTTCCTCTCACTGTCTCAAGAAGTACAGTGAGCCTCTTGGAAGTGAAGACAACTTTGCATTCTGCCACAGGAGCCTTAGTAGTGTTGGGCTGGGGCCTAGCTGCAAAGGCTTCCTCTGTACAAAGAATTGCATTGTGTTGAGTTCCACGCTTGTATGTATTGCCTGAATAGGGCAATAATTCCTGCATGTTCCATCAACCTCTCTCAGTCACAGCGTTTGTGAATCATAGTTCACTTTAAGAAATGCATCAACCACCAGTATAGGATGAGAAGAAGACATCCTCAGCTATCTGATGCACAAAAATGCCTTCTAGGCACAAATCCCCATCAGTGACTTCTTTCTTCCTTTTAGTTAGGAAATATACTTGTATCCAGGACTCTTCAAATAGAGTGCTGCCACTAATTCCACAAAGATAATGCTAAAGATGCATCAAAATGGTTCTTGTTGAAAGAGAATGAGCAATTTTCAAGAGGGAAGGAAGGCAGCTGCATGGCAGCAGTGCACAGAATTTCAAAGGGATGCTTTGCTTCTGTTACATATTGAGTGAAGCACCCGTTGGAGTAAAACTGCAAAGTGAAGGGGTACAGTAAACCACCCCCTATCAGTTGAACAAACTGGCTGCACTGCTGCACTTTACTCATAGAAAGTGGTTTCTACACATGTGCAGGGGCCGTTTCCTATGAAATGAGGTTGCCAGTTAAGGTAAATCTACCTCACTTGGACATGACATGAGACAGCAGGCATTGCCTCTGTTATTGCAAAGTGCAACCTTGAGACAGAGCTGGTCCACTTCGCACATAGAGGGATAACAGAAGATAAACAATATGCCAATTGGAGAAAGTACTGAGAACTTCTTGAGGATTTATTGGTAAAAGATATATTAAGAAACAACTGGAAACATGCATTTAAGTCTCTCTCAAAAGAGAGGCAATGCTCCTCACCACAAGAAAAATGTTACATTTTCCAAATCCCAACAATAGACACATTCAGGTATTTAGCATCTATTAGTACTGAATGAAAAGGCTCTGAGGACTTTTGGGTTAGGGTGATTCCTGGGATGCTATGGCTGTTGAGATTATACTCCTAATCATCACTATGGTAGGCATCATTTTGAAGGGAAGGTGGGTGAGCTACAAGTTTAGGCATACCAAGAAAGCCAAGTTCAAGTCCACCCTCAGTCATGGAAGCTCACTGGGTGGCCTTGGGCAGCCATGCTCTCACAGATCAACCAATCTCACCCACTTGTTGTGGGGATAAAATGATGGAAGATTTTCATGTAGGTAACCTTAAGCTCTTGGCAGAAAGATGGAATATAATTCTAACAAGGAAATGATGTAGATGCAGATGTCTCTGGACAGGAATAGATGATACCATTTAAGATATCCTCATATATCTTATGAAGATTTGTATGAAAGTCTGTACTCATCTAAGTACTCATTTCTTTCCCTTTCATAGCAAGCATCATAGGGGCATAACTGGTGCATACTTCAGCATCTGCAGACCAATATTCTTAATATCTTCACTTAATTAGTACCTACAATACTACATATCTGAATAGGAGTAATAACTTTAGATGGGAAAGAAGTTCTGATAATTATCATCATCATCATCATCATCATCATCATCATCATCATCAATCCCAAAACATCTGGGGTACCACTTGAAGACCACTGGCATTGACAAAATCACCGTCAATCAATTGCAAAAGGCAGCTTTACTTGGAACAGTTTACATCCTGCGATGATATCTTTAACGCCATCAAACAATGACATCTGCCTATCCCAATTCCTTGGGAAGGATTCGATAGGTGGATAAAAATGCCAAACCCAGTCTAAACATCTGGCAGACTATGTGACCAACAATAATGTCACAGCCAAATACCATTTTAACCACAGCCACAGGAGTAGATAGATGAAATAATCTCTGTAATCTGAAATGGTCAAACTCTTTCCCTCCTACCTTCCCATGCATACAGTCAAGGACTGAAACAGCATTTTTGGAGAGTTATTAGTTAGGGTTCATCCTCCCATCCCCCTAACTATGGTACAAAGATGCCCCACTAACTGATTATAACTAGGTCCTTATGATGGTTTTATTTCCTCTCTAGCTAACAGTGAAAGCAGCTTAAGTTTGACTTTAGCTGATCCATTTTAAAAGTAATACTTTCCCTCTTCTTCCATCATAAGTTTGGCTGTGGATACGATGTGGGATGTTTTGTCAATAATATGGTTGATTGTATGGTCAGTGGCTGGGATCTGCCCAGCACCATTGGCAATTTTGGGCTATTGTGGACATACCCCTTTCCATTTAGTCTCTTGGCACTATTTTACAGGGCTATTTGGGCAGCAGAATAGCTGAGAGAGCAGTAAGGTGGCCAATCAGAGTGACTAGCACATGGACCTGTATTCTCATTCACAACCCATCTGAAATATTCCATATCAAAGATTATCTTGCATTTATCCAGGTTTGCTTCATCCCATTCCATAATCCCCCTCTCATATATAGTAGGAGGATTGACTGTGTCTACTGTGTCTAACCTAACTTGTTAACCCTTGCCCTTCATTTCTACCACGTATTTCATACATTTCAACAGTGCTGAGCCCAAACAAGTGGGGAGAAGGGAAGATTAAGAAGACATTAAATTGCTTCAACCTTACTGGGATCCTGTAGGCAGAAAGATTCTTATGCTCAACTCCAGTGCTCTGGTAGTGATGATGGAGCAGTCACTGTCTCATGTTCCCAATGTACATGTCTTATTGGAGAGGAAGCAGCCTAGTGCCTCTGGGTATTTTGGACTGAAACGCCCTTCAGCTACTGTAGCCAGTGACAAGAACTGTGAGAGTTGTAATCCCAAATATCTAGAGTGTACCAGATTACCTACTCCTGCCTTTTTGTGAAAATTGCAGTCAGGCTGTGTAAGGTTTGGAGGAGTAAGGTGCAAGATTAGGGGGTGAATCTCCATTCCTATCCAGTACCAATAGCTGATTAAGATTAGTCTTGCTGGTATCCAAATATTGATCACTTGTCTTCAGTTCTCATGGGTACAATATGAATTCTTCCTAGCTTTATCCCAATGTCCCCAGGTGTGTGCTAGAGACCACCACTGGAGATGCTATCTGAAGCTTCCTTCAGATTAAATCAAAACAACATCAACATGTAAGACAAAGACTTACCACACATCCACTGACTAGATGTTCCTCACAGTCATATAGACCCTTATTTAGAACGTGCTTGTTGGCATCAAGAAGCCGGAATGAAGCAAAGTACACAATAGCCAAAGAAGCTGGGCAGAAAAACAGCCTCTGTCGAGTGTCTTGTGAGCAGCAGTTTACGAAGTTAATGAATGCTGGAAAACTGTGAGGCAGTCAAAACAAATCAGCCAGAGTCAAGGAATGCAGTTGTGTTCCTAAAGTCAAAGAGCAACTGAAGCAGCTTACTGAACACAGAGTAGCCATGGGGATATGACCTCAGCCAGTCAGGCCCTCCCTTGTTTTTTTCTCAGCATCTGCTAGTTATATTCCTAGCACTTGCTTTCTCCCATTCTGCCCCCTCCCTACTCACCCCTTCCACGCACTCCAGTTGCTTGGGATTTTTAATAGTAACTAGGCCATAGAAGAATGCATTCGAAGGGTAAACATTTGGATGTAATGCATCTTCCTTTGGTGCTTCTGCTTCCCACAAAGCTACATTCAGGATCCCTTGTCTGTTATTTTCCTAGACACATCAGCAGCCACAGTCTAGATAAATATTGCTGCCTTTCCTACGGTGAACGTAAAGATGTTTTTGGTTATTAGCCTTGAGGTCAAAGCCTAACAAATGAACATGTCCTGCAAGAAACAGGATTTAGGAGCCCTGCAGGTGGTAATCCAGCAAAAGTAGACCAATTTAAATCCCAACTCTGACAGCGCTCTACATGGGGCTACCCTTGAAGAGTATCCGGAAGCTTCAGCTGGTCCAGAATGCGGCCATGTGAGCAATTTTTGGGGCCCAAAGGACCCATATA